CGTCCATCCATTCCTCCAAAATTTAGGAAAAGTGCATTTAACACGGTTCATCGCTTATCGCATCCAGGAGCGAACGCAACAGTTAAACTGGCAACACAGCGCTATGTCTGGCCGTCCATTAAGTCCGACTGCAGACGATGGGCCCGGAGCTGCATACCATGCCAGCGATCGAAAATTTCCCGTCATGTATCGGCACCAACGGGAACCTTCTCATTACCATCGGAAAGGTTTGAACATATCCATATTGATATAATCATTATGCCACCCTCAGAAGGACATCGATATTGCCTTACAATGATAGACCGCTACACAAGATGGCCGGAAGCTGTCCCGTTACTGTACCAGGAAGCCGCAACTGTAGCTCGTGCCCTATATGAAAACTGGATCGTTCGGTATGGTACCCCACTCAGAATAACAACGGACCAGGGCAGGCAATTCGAGTCGTACCTATTTAAACAACTAAATAGTTTACTAGGTACATCTCATTTGCGAACAACGGCTTATCACCCTGCAGCCAATGGGATGATTGAACGAGTTCATCGACAACTCAAGTCTACAATAATGTGTCATGAAACACCTTCATGGACCCAAACCCTTCCCACCGTCCTTCTAGGTATACGTTCAGCGTGGAAAGAAGATTTGAAGGCCACCGCAGCTGAAATGGTATATGGACAAACATTACGTCTACCAGGGGAATTCTTAAGCGCCACACTTCCTGTGGGAAACATGCTGACTTCCACGGAATTTGTTAACGGCCTTCGGCAACACTTCAGTAGGTTAAGACCCCAAAAACAACGCCGTCACGGTGAAAAGGAAACATTTGTGTTCAAAGATTTGAACACCACCCAGCAGGTCTTCGTATGTCGCGGGGGGTCCAAGGAGATGCTACAACCACCGTTTGATGGTCCGTACCCTGTTGTTTGCCGGTCAGAAAAGACGTTTGTGGTACTCATCAATGGCCGTAACGTAACAGTAACCATTGACCGACTTAAACCGGCATACGTTGCAGTTGATGAGACAATTCCGTGTCATCCCGGTGTTATTAACAAAGATCCAATTCCATCTGAGGTTTCCCCTGATTATAAACAGCCTGTTACAAGATACGGCCGTCATGTGCATTTTCCCGACAGACTACAGATTAATTGTGTATAACATGTATATTTGTAGATATATATAACGATTTACACACTCACAATTTTAATTTGTCAATTTTAAATTATAGTTCGTTAACACTAGCAGGGGGGTACTGTGGCGACCCTCGCCTATTACACTATGTATTTTAGTCTTTTGTTTTGTAGATATATCATCATAATCATTGTAAATAATATGTAACACTCTGTATATATATAACTTCTGCTTTTCTTCAACTTGTAAATATTCTAACGAACTGCCTTTCTACTAACAGCATGTTAACAGTTTCTTTTCTGGATCTGACTTCCTGCCTTTTGAATGTATCTATACCTAACCCACATAAAGTATCCTATTTCATACTAACAAAAACCGATCGACAGAAAATTCTGAGAACGAAAGTCGACGGTTCCTTCTTTTCAAGAGCTGTACCCTAAAATAAAAACACATGTGCATATTCACTTTTCACTTCGTTACATAATTTCTGCACCCTCAAAGACCAGTCTCTCTCAGCCATTCTTCATATTAACATCTACCGACTTTCCGCTATTCTCTTTTACTCATCTTCATTTTCTGTAAAATAAATTCTCTACTTCTCTCTTCAACAAAGAGTTTTTCTTCATCGTCAATAATCACCCACAAATAGTTTCGCAAAACCATCGCGGAATTTCCATTCGTGCTAGTAGAGATTCTAATTTTGAACATAATTTAGCAATACGCTGTAAAGGTGAGGAGGGAGTGAACCGTCCCACTCTAATTTCAAACCCCATAATTTTTGCATTATCAGTTTAACGATTTTGATGATAGGAGATATTAGTCCTAATGGATCAAAAATTTGGCAGTTGGCTGATAATACTTTACGTTTAGTAATTTTGAAATTTTTTATAGATTTGAATTTGGTATTAAATTTGAATAAATCAGTTGATAGATTCCACCATAACCTTAATGTTTTTACGTCTTCATTGTCTTTAATGAGCACCAAATCTTCTTTGTTAGTCCAATCAGAAAGTAAATACGGTACATTTGAAGCCCATTTGTTAAGATGGAATACCGCGTCTGTGAGAACCATAAAGACCTCCTTTTTGATTTTTTCAGTCTTCTTTATGAACTGAGCGCCCTTAAGGAGATCGTCTACACAAAAATTCCTACATAGGATAGTGTGCACGATAGGATGGGTTTTGCTAACATCTACAGATGTTTGGTGGACTTCTAATAACTAGAAAAGGAGCACATTTCGTACCGTATGTTACCATACAGAGACGATATTCGCAGATCGGTTCATGAGGATCTGCGCGCCAAGAAATTCTCTGCTAATCGCAATCTCTACTATTAACTTCAATTTGTGGGTACATTTTGGTAATATCAGCAGTTAATGCAAACTGGTGGATGCGAAACCGACGTAATACAGAGAAAAGATCTTCCTGAATGGTAGGATCTTACATTAATTTGCCATTTAAGCTTTATTGATTAGTTATTTTTGCGGAACCATCAAATACAATTCTAACTTTAGTTGTCAAACTATCGTCCTCGAATATTGCATGATATGGAAGATAATGGACCTCATTTTGTTTTTTTTTTTCGGTTTTAACCATCTCCATGTGACCTAATGAAATATATTCATCTAAAAATTGATTGTAGTGTTGGTTTAGAATAGCGTTATTTTTTAGTCTCTCTTCTAAATTATAGAAACGTTTGACGGCATTGTTGATTGTTGCGGGTGTGTTGCTGGCCTAGATTTTTTCCTAAGGAACATTTAAACCCTCTTCGATAAAAATTAATTTAACGAAGTCGATATTTTAGGAAATAACGGTCGAATATTTTCTATATGTGGTCTTGTTAAAATGATAGAACGAGCAATAATAACTAATGTGATTTTCAACTTTTAATAAAAAACGTACACTAAAACTAACACCGAAAAAATACTTAAAGATACACTACAACGAATATACTAAAAAGATGATTGATGCTTGAACTTAATGCTTGAACGTAATGCGCTTATTACATATAAAAAATGCTTAAATATACAACAAAATATAGGGGGTGGAGGTAAGTTAGTGGGGTGTTTTTGACCTTAAGCTATGGTTAGTGACTACGTAACTACAATCACAAAATTGTTTGATGATGGGAAGATCATCGACCCATCTGGTGACCAACACGAAGGGACGTTACCTGCCGAGGAAAAACCTACATAATATGATGATAAAGTTCCTTTGTTGTAGGCACGTATTTCTAAGTTTAAACTGCGAATAACGAAATTGTTTTTTCTTTATTCAAACGATACATCATGAATTGCGCTCCAACAGTCATATCTCTAAAGTTTCTAATGTGAATGTCGGGCTTCAGCGGAAGGCATACTACAAAATGTCCTGTTTCGTTTCTTCGGCAAGTAATTTTAAAATGTGTTTCACAAGCATTCTCCTCCATTGAATATTATTATTAATTGTTTGATCATTTATGTTTTCGATTTCCCAAAATCTTGATTTTTAATTTTCCAGATGAACAAAACTGTAATGTCTATTATTAACTTGATTATTAACTGTTGAACCTTCTATGATCCAGCCAAAATGTGTTTTTTGGAGATTTAAATATGGACCTAACTTAACTAAGCTAAATTGATGTTATTTGGAATATTGAATTGGGTTTTGTTAAATGAACTTGCTAGTAAACAATCGATTAACATTTCTAATGCAAAACAAGTTAACTGCTGAATAAATAAATGGATACATGATTTTAGTTTTACATTGACGGATTGTTTAATCTGAGATGTGTTATTCCTGGAATAGTGAAATTTACTTTCTAAATGGGCAGATCCAAATTTTTGCACAATTTTTGAGAAATTAAATTGAGTTTAGACCCGGCGTCTAATAATGTCCAACAAGATTGAAGTTGACCTTTACGGTCATATACTAAAAGTTGTACTGTTGATAGTAATACTTGCCTATTAGGAACAGAATTGGAGAAAGAATGACCTACGATGACAGAAGTTAAAGGAGTAGTTTTCTAACGCTTCAGTTGTTTCTGAAGTTGTATCGGGTTTTTCAATATGTAACATGGTTGCATGTTCCATTTACGACAGGAACTAGCATAGCATTCGCGTGTTTTGTGGTTGGTTCGGAAACAATTAAAACAAAAATTTGTCTTTTGAATAAATTTAATTCTTTCGGTTACTTGCATTTTGATAAACTTCTCGCATTAATTGATAAAATGCTTACCTTTACATAAAGGACAACTAAGAGTTTAGTTTTACGTAAGTATTTAATAAATGTTGCCTTGCTTTTGGAAAAGAATAATTTTTTGCATTTTTCTGAGTTTCTACAGTAGTTGGCAGCGATTAGATAAAAATTTAATTTCTTTTTTCTTATGAAATATAATTTTGTATTAACTAAATGTACATATTAATAATCACTGTTCGATTGGTAAATTGAAAATTGTGAGTGACCGAAAGTGAGTGTTAAATGAGTCCAATAAATCGCCTTAAATAACTCGAAGAGTCCTTTTGTATAGTCGAAACGCAACAACGTATTAACATGCCCCTGAATAATGAGACGTTTGTTTTGAAATCGTTCCCTTAATAATTGCCAAGCATTTGTATAGTTATCGGCCGATGCAGTTAACGAAATGATTACATGAGCAGCCTCAGAGGTAACACACATTTTAGGATAATGGATTTTTTTTATCTTGGTTAAATTAAAATTTCATAAATAACTGAGTTAAATAGATCATAGAAAGACAACCCTTCTTCGTAATTACCACTAAAACGAGGTAGGTTAATTTTCGGCAGCTAAATATTAACGTACCAACGCAGACGTCTACGGGATAAATGCTCTTACGTAACATGGTTACGCAAACTGTCTATACATAATTTAACTAACCTCTCTTTCGCAAACTGTATTCTTTATAGTTCCTGAAATTCCACAATAATATTCATCCTCGTCACAGTAGTAATTAGGATTCGATGTATCAGTGGTGTAATACACAAAACCTGACCTTTTCTTTGTATCAATGACATTTAAAAATAGATATACTACAACAACAATCTTTATCATACTTTTCACGGACATTATATTGACATGTGCCTACAACAAAGTGCATGCTACTTCGATTTCTTTTTTCACAAGGAATCTAACCGTCTTATGAAGTATGTAATGTCCCGTCTTGTTTTAGACGGACTACGCGCCTAATTAAATTTGCATAGTTAGTTAGAAAGAAATGATAAGAACTCAGACTTGGTTTATCGGTTTATTGGCTTGATGTTATAACAAAATTAGTTGTTTGGTTCTTAATCGGTAATTTACTGGTATAAAAAATGAATCTAAATTGACTGGTTTAAATGATGTATGAATATTCTACTGGTTTTACTGAAGGATCAATCTTGTCTCTATATAAAAAAAACTTTTGGGTGTTTCATTCCCACTAGCTGGTGGGCGGGCAGTCCCACCGGACTACGCCGGAAGGTAGGGCGGAAGGCCCTCTTCAGCCTATTTTCAGGAATCGTGGGAATGAGTGGGTGGTGGTTCGGGTGAGAAAGTTGAGACAGACGAAATGAAGACAGAAGAGAATGAAACATTATCTATGGAATATTACTGCCCCAGCATTTGCCTAAGTGATCCAAGGAAACCACAGAAAAACTTGGACCAAGGCAGACGGACCCAGAATCGAACCGGCCTCCTCCCGAATACTAAGCAATGGTCTAAACCTCTAGACCATTCCGCTTGGTTGCTCTATATAATACATGTCTAAGTATTTAAAGCTAAAATATATACTAGGGTAAGTGGGGTGGTTACTACTATTGGTTGAGGTCAGGAATTGGAAAGTGGTAGGCGTTATGAAATTCTAAGTAAAGGGAAAAGGTCGGTTCTGGAGCTATATACAAAAATATAATCCTAAACTAATCCGATTCGTTACAGTGTGCAGTGTGCTCCGATTATCGAGGGACAACTGTCTTAAACTAACAAAACTGCCTGTCTTTCAAAGGCTCAAAGGCAAAGCAGGAACAGTCTAAATTTTCTAAATACTAAAAAGTTTTATACACTGTACATGTAATAGATGAACCGGAACAAAGTAAAATGGTATATTTTTTATTTATTTATTTATTAACAGGAGTAATTAAGTATACAGATATTATTCGCATAGTTAAAACGAAATCACTAAATAATATAGCAACTGTACTCCGATCATAAGATTGGGTTACTCAGTTCGCCCGCTCTATGATCAGGGTAAAGGGCACCTGTTTCTCGTTTAACACAATAAAACAATAATATCTCCGCAGAAGGCAATTTGCCCGTGCGCGGACCTGCTAAGTATATCTCTTAGTTTTAATATCACAACATTCTCTCAGGTAGCATATAAAAATTTTCCATGTTACATAAGAAATATACAAAAATAATCGAAGAAAAGAAAACAATTCTATTTTTTAATACATATAAAAGTAAAATATTTTCAAGCTCCTAATATTTCACAAATCTGTATGAAATAAACTTTTAACAGATGGAGGTGATAAGTCAATAATCCACTTTCTTATCGTTTTGTCACTAATAAGAGTAGTGATCTGTTTTTCTTTTAATTCATTTGGCAATAGATTAAAAGTTTTATTTCCTATATATTTATGATTCCGTCTATCGATTTGCTTTAGCACTTTAGGTGCTTGGACAATTCGACGTCTCGATTGACTTTCTTTCAATTGTTCATACGCATTTTGCAATGATTTAAAATTCCGAAATAGAGATTTCTCGATAAAATATTTTCTCACACTTATTATAGTTTGTTCTTTATATAAATCCTCGGAAGAGGAAAATGGTGGCTTATTAAAAATAAGTTTGATTAATTTTTTTTGTATGATAAGAAGTGGACTCATTGACGTATCATGAGCTCCTCCCCATACAATAATACCATATGTTACAATCGACCAGAACAAACCATAATAAATTGTTAACAATTGTTTGCTAGTAAGGATTGATTTCAATATAGTGGAGTAAATTTGGAAACTGCTAAAGTATATATATATTTTAGCGTGAAGTTTATATATATATATACATATATATATATTCTTATATGTTCTTATAGACTCGAAAATTTTGTCGTGGAATGTTTATTATTCACACATTATTTTTATTTGCTTATTATTTAGGTATCTGTTTTTATTCCACAAAACCCTTTTACATTTAAGGTACTTATGCGTTGAAATGAACTATCTACCTATTATTTCTATTAACCATTTTTTTTGAGTGCCTAATTAAAAATGTTTTATTATAAAACAATATTTTCTAATTTCAGTATTACAGATCCATCCCTCCCATATGTCATGTTTGATATTTCCTTGATTGTTATTTATCGTAATGTTTCTGTATACATGTATAAAAAAATAATGCAAGCTATCACTAGTGTCTAAAGCCCAGGAAGTCACCAATCCTCAAGCATACACAACCCAATGTCTAAAATCACCAGCTGTTGAGTTTTTCGTCTTTTCATTATTTTGTTTGTTATGGTGTGTGGTGTAGTTTATTTATTTTAATGTGATCACTGTGAATTTACGTCCAACCACTAGGAGGTCACTAATCATCAATCCGAAAAATGTCAAAACATGAGGTTCATTCACTTGTTTTAGCCTGAAGTTTATATTATTTGATTTAAAAGCAAATTGGTTAAATTTTCAACACACGCAATAACTAATTCATTCAAATAGATGCTGAAGCATTAGAATTAACATTTTAAACAATAAAAATCATGGAATAAAGATTTAGTAATTCAATAATACATAACCTGCTACTTGAGGAAATAACTCTTCGCAATTATTATAGAAAGTGAAAACGACCTGTGCGACTGACGAAGGTACACCACACATCAACCGTTTCAACACCCTAACACCTTTCTTTCTGATCAACTGAGGTGACTTTTTTAGGCGACCACCTTTGAATGACTCGAACCAAAAAATAGAGATTTAAAACATTGAGATCGTAGTTAGCGTATATCTAACTAGTAAGTTAGATAGTTTGAGTTTTAGCGACCAGACAATAGAAAACGAAGTAAGATGATCAAAGAAGCGATAAAGTGTGATAATGAAATAGAAATTAATCATTAATAGTGGCTTTAATTGGAGAGTAAATAATTAAATAAATTAGACAGTAGTGAGAAAGGTGTTTGATAACGCAACATTTGGTGTCAGGAGTGGGATAGAAGAAGATTGGAGAGGTCATCGAATAATTCCAATGAACTTTTTAAAAGTTTCCACGGAAATAACACTAACAAGCCATATATCATTAAAAATGTTTAGAAACGAGATCATCGAAGTTTCATCAAATTTTCTGGAAGTTTCTCCTGGTTACGAGAAATCTTACAAGTCATATATCATTGCCATAAAGCTCTTGAAGAAAGAATAACGGTTCCGGCCTTATCGAAATTTCCATCGAAGTTAGTGATAGTGACTAACCCCAAGATGTTTCTGAAATAAATGGTAAGTTTTATAGGGTGTTAACAAGATACAATCGGAAATCACATAGTGAGCAAAGCAAAGTGATTAAAAGTCAAAAAGAATTGTAAGAAAACCAAAAGAATCTGCAATCCGTATCCGCCCCAGGGCGTGAACTGGCAAAATACAGAGGAATTGCTATAACAACTAAGGAGCTACATCGACGTAAAATATAAATAGTGTCCTGTTGAAAACGACGCCTAGGTAGGTTACAGAATTGCTCCACTTGACGGGACGGTTGTTTACCAAGATGGAGGGAGGTTTTCGGGACCTACGAAAGAAGAAAATTGCTTCCGATTTGATCTCGTTAATAGAAAGTTTCTATTTTCAGTACCAGTTTAGGAGCAGGGGCGGAAACTTATTAATTCTCCCTGTGCATTGGAGAATGGTTTGGGCGGAATTTATGACGGCAATGTCGTCCGCGTAGAGAGCTGTCAAAATAGAAGTGTCGGAGGGCATGTCCGCAATGAACAGGTTAAATAGAATAAGTGATAGTTTGGAGCCTTGTGGGACACCGGCAGTGACGGGTTTACTGCCAGAGAGAACAGAGCCGACGCGGACCTGAAGGCTTCTGTCTGTGAGAAAGAACCTGATAATCCCAACTAGAAAATGTGGAATGTTAAGGGCGATGAGTTTTGAGATGAGGCCTTCGTGCCAGACTCGATCGAACGCTTGCTTGGACGTCAAGAAGAAACATGGAGGTGTGACGCCGCTTGTTAAGGTTGTCGGAAATGTATTCAGATACGCGAAGAAGTTGGTGGCCGGTGCTGTGATGCCTGCGGAAGCCGTGTTGATGATTGGGGAGAAGGTTGTTTTTGCTCCACGTGGTTTAAGAGCCGATCGAGAAGGATTGATTCAACTACTTTGCTCAACGAACTGAGCAGGCAGATGGGACTGTAGCTTGAGGGAGAGCTGAGGGGTTTTCCTTTTTTGGGGAGACAGATGACAGTGGCTTCTTTCCAGATCAAAGGGAAGTGCTTCGGGGACGTATTTCTGCCCGAGCGATATAACCATCGAAAGATGCACTGCGGAATTCAGTGAGACGAATTTTTAGTTCTCGTTGAAGGGCGTTTACTTCTGCACGGTGTGCGGGGATGCGGTGTTTATTCCACAGACGTCGGGCCTTATTTTTCCTCTTAAGGAGGTCAAGAATGTCTGCGGGGAGGGTTCTGTCTTTGGTGGGCGTTGAGCGGGAGGTAGTGATTAGCTCGATAGCGTTGGTAATCTCGTTTGAAAGGAGATTCACAGCTTCGTCAAGTTCCGCTATTGTGTGAATTGGAGTGCACTTGAATGAAGACGTTTCGAGGGTGTAACGGGGGTGTAGCCAATTTAGTGACGTGATTGGGTTTGAGGAGTTGTTGATTGGGCGGCCGACTTCAATCAGAGCTGGAAGGTGATCCGAACTTAGTACGTCAATGACCATAGGATCGGCGGAAAGTGTAACATTTTTTGTGACAAAAATGTCAAGTGTCAGGGAATTGATTGCGGGGGGCGGGGAGGAACGTGGAATCAGGGGGTGCTTCAATTGTGAGGTTGAAGTCAAGAATTTTGGCAAGAAGGGAGGTGCCTTTACTATTGGTTTGTCGATAGCTCCTAGAGACGTGTTTAGCGTTGAAATCGCCGGCAACGATAGTTGGAACGCCTGGGGGGAGTAGAAGGGGGAGTTCAGAGAGGTCTCTGTCCGAAGGGGGGAGTAGAGAAAGATAATCCTAAGAGGACCGGAAATTAGCGAAACTTCGATGCCGACTGTTTTTAACGAATTTGTGGCCGAAGAGATAGGCCTGTGCTTTAAAGAATTCCTAACAAGAATGGCGACACCGCCGGCACTGCGGTTTTCACGGTCTCTTCTGTAGGATGAGAAGTTCGGGACGAAAAGTTTGATTTTTTCGGACAGGTGAGTTTCGGTGATGCAGGCAACACCGATTGACTTATCTTCGAGGAAGTGCTCGCGTTCAGTCAATTTACCTCTAATGCTTTGCGCATTCCAAGTAACTATGCGAAGATTGTCTGGGTGGGCTGTATTACTCATTGGTAGGCGTTTGAAGGACGGTGACCAGACTTGCTACCATCGTTTGAACAATGGCCTGGATCCTCTGTTCAGGAGAAAACGCTGCTGGGGTGTTTGGGGACGCATTGCGTTTTTGAGGGGGAAAGGGTGGAGCTGCTGTCACTGCCCTGGCGTAAGATTTTTGGGGGAGCGTCGTTCCAGGGATGGTTGCTGGACGGTGCGTTGATTGCACGGACTTTTGTGTGCTGGGGGGCACTACGGTCCACTTTGGAACCTTAGGGCAGCAGCGGTATGTGGCGCGGTGACTTCCTTTGCAATTAGCGCAGGAGTGGCATCTTTCTTGTCCTTTGCCTTACATTCGGCAGTGATATGGTTGCGACCACAGAAGAAACAACGGCGGCATTGGGGGATGTCTTTTGTGGCCCTTTTTGGCTCAACTTTTACTCTGAGCCCGCAGACCTTGCCAAGTTCGCAGATAGACTTGGACTTCGGGAATGATATGTCCAGACGAAGGGACACTAACGGCCAGATTTTTTCACCGTTGAACATTCGGTTGACGCCGCGGATGTCAAAGCCTTTGTGAACAAGTTCAGCTTTGACATCGTCTGTGGAAACTCCATGGAGCACAACAAGGAGATCGCGGTCTTGTTTCAGTTGGTTTGTACTAAACTCAACTTTGAATTCGTCGAGGAACGACGAGAGTCGACGAAAATCGTCAACGGAGTTTGGGTAGACTCTTACAGAGTCTTTAGTGTTTATGGACCGACATGTGGCGATGCCGTGGTTGTCCATGGCGCGAAGAATTTTCGGCCAAAAGGACATTTGGCGGATTTCGATGGGGGGAGGGTCTTTGAGTTGAGGATGCCGAAGACAAAGGTAGCACGTCTTCGGCTCTTCCCGACTTCTATGAAGCCGACTGCGGCAGTGGAGGGGGGGGACCTGAATCGGATAATTCAGACCGGGTAGCAGAAGAAGGCACGACGTCTTCGCACATTGGGGAAGATGGGGAACTTTCGCAGTGTTGTCGCAAGAATTCGTTGATTATGGCGAGCTTGGACTGCAGCTCGCTCGCCAAGGACATAATTTCCGCAATGGAGAGTCCCTCCAAGAGTGTGGGGCTCTTGGGGATAGCCATTTCGAAATGGCTGGCTAAAGAAATTTACCTACTCCTGTGGGACATAGTGTTTATGGTACAAAGTAAGAAAATGTTAGGTTTTTATTGTTAGTTTAATTGGTGGGAGGTTAAGGGAGCTCAGAGGGACTTTGAGTACTCCGTCCCAAAGAACTGTTGGTTAGTAATATTTTAAATTGGTTAAACTTACCTAAAAAACGGCTGGGCAATTCTTGAAAATTTGCAGATATTGATGAATATTGTACAACCTCGTTTAATATGTCGTCGCTATATAGGCAGTGATAACTGCCGGTTGTTGTGTTCGTCGGCTGCGGTAGCTGGTAAGAAGACGGTAGAGAATGTTGCTGGTCGCAAGTACGTATAGAAGCTCGAATGGTTCGAGCTCGAGTTCACTTATTTGTCAAAACATTTATCTTAAATACTACCTAGAACTAACTCCCTCCAAAGTACCCTATTCGAACAATTATTTTTGTTGTTGCAACCACCGACAAAACGTTGACCTGTAAAATGGTCGGTACCTGAGTTGAATATAGTAGCATTTCCAGACCCTCGGTACGCTGGGAATGCCTTGAATATCGTAATAAAATAATAAAATTTACAGGCCAACGCTTGAAATACGTGCAACTTTTACTATTTAGGTATATTGAAACTTAAAACTAAAATATACGTACACTAAAAATAACATTAAACTATATACAAACAAATATAAACAATAGAATATATATACAAATNGTAACAGTAACAGTCGTAACTTTCAAGTACCGAGAGACTCACCAGGACATTTATACGTACACATATATATATATATATATATACAAATATACATTAAGGACGCAACAGTACCTATTTTATAAAAAGAAATAAATGTAGAATAAGAATATTGGTACGCAAAGATAGAAAAAGAGTGAATATAAAGATAGGAGACGAAAAATTAGAAGAAGTCGTTGATTTTCGGTATCTAAGGAGACAAATAATTCAGGGTGGAAGAAGCAGTAGAGATATAAAACAAAAGCGCAGAATCAAGAAGTCACTTCTATGCTCGCGAACGGTTAATATAGAAATTTGAAGAAGACAGGTGTATGTCTGAAAGCGTTCGAAATGTGGTGTTACAGTGGAATAATGAGATTGCTGTCAATAGAGAAGATTAGAAATGAGGATGTATTAGAAAGAGTAGGAGAGCAGATAGTGCTATGGAATACTATAAGAAACAGGCGAGATAAGTTAATAGGAACCTTCTCAGGCATGAAGAGATAATTAAAGACATATTAAAAACAGAAACAGGAGAAGATTAGCGGTAGACCTAGATTGGATTACTGTTCATAAATAGTTAAAGATGCGGGATGTTCTAGTTTTAGGGAAATACGAAAATAAGTTTAGGATAGAAAAGAGTGGAGGTACGTGCCCAACCAGTCTTAGGACTGATAACCCTATGATGATGATGATGATGATGATGATGATAATGATGATGGTACAATGCCACGAAACAACAAAATTAAAGGATTCTTCGGAAAATGTAAATGCTAGAGCAATGCAGAGACATTGACGGGTGCTACAAATAGCAATTTAAATATTATTAATGTAAATTCACATTCTAAATAAATAGGAGTAGATGAAGTAAAAGAAGCATTAAGTATCTTCTTCTGGCCACGAAAGAAATTATAGTTCAAATTGGCGAAAACTGCGGGGTTCTAGTTTATCCTTCCATCCTAGATGAGTCTCGACCGGATAAAGTAAAGTTAGCGGTGATTTGTCTAAAAGGCGTAGAGTTCAGCTAAGATATTTAACTCAAGTAAAAGAATAGACTTTGAATAATTTTTAAGACTATTTTAAAAATCGTTTTTGGTAATCAAGCTAGTTTTTTATCTCAAGAAATTAACAAAGAGTCATTGAATAAGGAATTGAATAGGTACTATCGTCAGTGACAAAGAATACTTGAGTAGAATCAATGACGAAACATAGGAGGTGTACGAGATATTGCACTTAATCTAAAGAATACTGACAGGGTGCACATAATAATAATTCTAGATATGAACCACGAGTTAATAGACGAGAAGATAATAAAAACCGCGATTACAGACGAGATGGTATCCGTGATTATCAACACCGTAACGGTGTCAATCGTAATTCTTCCGCCAGAAAAGAGAAAAAAGAATGTCTATCCTAACACTAATACTAAATATAGGTAGGTACCTACAAATAATAAGTTAACAACGACAACAATAATAATAGCAATATACTGAATACATGCAATATAGAGAATATAAATTATAAATAATTAAATAATATGAAGGAATATTACGGGAAAATCAGATTTTCATAATTTAAGGCAGTTATACAGACTCCTATAGTAAGTACAGATTTATCAATCATAGGTAAAATAAACGAACCTGCACTTCCATTATAGATTCTAGTTCGTACGCCTGTCGAAAGATCACAGGCAATTCAATTACTTTCAATTCAAATTATATCATCCGTCTTTTCAATAACGCGCGGGTAATTCCTAATGGGTATAGAAACAAAGATCTGGAGGGGGCTATTTTACTGTTTACTTGAGTCAACTAACATCTGTCGCCCTCATCTGTATCCGTATCGTAACGTAAAGTGAATTATACTTACTTAGTAATGAACAAAGAAAGGTGTAATAATTATTTATTATAAAACTATTACAAAAAAATTAACATATAATTAATGAAAAACAGCATCATTTGAAGATATGTACAATAAAACATTATTTCTTAATTAATCGCAAATACAAAAATTCATTAGTCTTTACCGATTGTATAACTAGCATTTAAATAATTCCAAATATATAAGTTACAAGCATTACCCAATGACTAAGAAAATTCAAGTTTGACCATTTTTCATAAAAACTTTCCCTGTTAGGATCTCCAACTGCATCCATCAATACCCCGAGATAAATTGAGTGAAAAATTGTCAATAAAGAAAATAAACAACGAACAAGTTTTACTCTAATATCTTTTCTAGTAAATTTGTGTTTACAATTTTTACAATGACGAACTTTCAGACATGAATCAAAAACAGAAGATATCTTATCCTGAACTACTAATTGTACATAAGAATAAATGCCTATTGTTAACAATACTGCAGCAACTTCAACATTAAAACCATGTAGAAGCGAAGATATAAAGTATGTTATAAAAATTGCTCTAAAACGACCATATTTCAAATATGTTCGGTAAACATCTGAAATGCAAATAATTAAATAACTAAAGCACAGCCACTTTAGTAATTTTATAATACTCCAGAATTTGCTTACAATATTTTAAAAAATTGTGCATTGGTATGTTCCAACTAATAACGACACTAACCAGGGAGGAAGGGATTTCAATGTCTAGAGGATGTGTTATTTCATAACTCCAATGGCCTTTCTTTTGTTCATTTTTTTTATTATTAAATCCTGCAATTATCATTGAAGTTTCTGATAGATAAGATATAAAATAATGACTCGATCTAAAGGAAAGTGCTTGACGATATGCTTCAAACCATCTACAAAAACAATATTTATATTCAATTATACTTTATCTTACTGAACTTTTAACTTGTTAGTTAATGAATAAAAACTATGAGGTACATTTTGGCATCTAATTGTACGATTTTTTTTGTTCATATTCTTTCCGCACATTCATATTTAATCAAACAATTCACAGAAATAAGCTAAACTAGTTTTTTTATTACTGCTTATATTAATTTATTAAGACTTATAACTTGGTTGACTCTTATAAAATACTTTACAGCCAAATTCACACAGAAGCAATAAGAGGCATAGACTAATTAGAATATCTTTACTTACTTGAAACTTCCATCAGGAATAAAATAAGTTCCCCAGCAATTTGAAAGAGTTAAAAAGAATACTGCATTTAAAAGACTACAAATAATTCTTGTTGCCCAATTAAAATTCTAAAAAAGGGATAATTTAATTCGTTGCTAAATTTGATGGATACATTTACCTTCTTTCCAGGATTCTTATACAAAGTTTTATATTCGCCAACAGAAACCCAAGGACCAAACAGACAATTAGCAGGGCATAAAATGTAACCAAAAAATAATACAGATCTATACTCTTCTCCTCTTTGCAAATCTGAAGTGAACGAAATAATCTTCATACATGCTATCATAAAAAAACCTCTCAATTGAATCCAAGTATCACTGTTAAAGCCAAATTCACTACAATTTAAGTATAATACATTGAAATTCATTTATAATGAGTACATTTGTTTTTACCATATTACTAAAACTATTGCACAAACAAATCCTGTCAAATATTCGAGATTCAGTCTTCGATGTTTTTGAATTTTGCAAATTGTAAGAAGAAATACATAAGTGAGACATATAAACCCTACAATACATAAAATACTCAATTCTGGGAGTGTAAAAAATAGTAATAGGAATCCAAGTAGGATAGACAATCCATTATATGTGGTTTCAGATATTAACCCTACAACAAACTGATGTAACACATTTTTATGAAATGAACAAACATAATTTACTTGATTGTATAGAAACATTGAACAAAAAATTAATAATTATTAAATTTTTTAACGTTGGTAAAATTCCATTTATAGACGGAAAAACACAATATTCGAAAACTTCATATACAGTTGGAGTGTAATCATAATAGTATCTATCCTCAGAATCCATTTAAAAAGGTTGTCCATTTCTTATCGTCTCTAACAATAACAAAGGGCAAAATAAGAACCATTGTTCATTTAAAATGACCTATTCTAATGCGAGGTAGAATTGAACAAAAATTCTGTTTAAGTTTATATACATTAGTTTAGATTTCATTCATAAAAAGTTCATAACTACGTATAATAAACACTGCTAACGTACTAATACGGTCTTGTTTAGTTTTATTAGACCCATAGATAAAATTAGACCATTAATAATGTTGCTCATAGACATGCTGCTAACTGTTGCTAATGTTATCGTTTTATGAGCATGCGCCGTATGAAAAATAAAGCAACAATGAAGTAACAATAATGGGTTTCTAATCAAAAAGACTTTTAAATCCCTCAAAAATAAAAAATGTATAACTCTATTGTGAGACAATAATTTACTTAAAGCAATTGCAAAGTCAAATCAGCCACATGGTTGAGAAAAAATGAAAACGTAACATATCTACCTACATACAAAAGGAGTACTTAACTCGCTGAAGGTACGTACGTTACATTCATCAAAATTTTAGGTTAAGTATGCTTTTTTTACATGTCGCATATGTAATGATAATAAATATATACATATATATTCAAATATATAGGTAATTATATGTTAAAGTGAACAGAACAAATACATTCAATGAAAAATATCGATGTTTGTTTTAAAAATAGTCCAATTTCAGTACTTTAACTCTGGAAAACATTCATGTTACATCTCAAACCATTGCACTCTATTTTTGACATATGACATAAGACATAATGACGTAAACGTAACGTATTACGAAGAGAGGGAAGTCCAACACATATACTTAGTACTCCTATATTGCTAGTAGGAGTCCAGAAAAAGATGACGACCCAACGATGCAGACATATATATGTCTGTCACCCTCATTTAGACTTTGAACATTGTGCGCATGTCCGAGAAGGTACCACGCATACGAAAACTTGTCTACTCTAACTACATTAGAAGCTGTGGGAGATGAGGGCTTCTCCCACTACAGTCGCAACGCTTGCGCATACGCATCAAGTATAAACGAGTGAGAAGAAGTATGTAGTTGCTGTCTTTCTTGCTCGACAACGCCGCCACTTACGGGGACTAGCAATATAGTAGTATTAGGTATATGGCAGTATATAGTCCAACACACCTGCAGGTTGCATAAAAATAAATATGACTCAATGAGTTTATACCATAGACGTGTCTATCTATATCTATGATTGTTACCCATTTATACTTATGTTCTCAGTTACAAGTTACAACATGTGAACTTGATTACTTGGGGGGCAACCTATGAGAGCCATTGTAGCGGTTATTATAATGTATAAATCTAGGGTCTACTTTAGTTCTTTAACATTTCCACAGTATGTCTATAGTCTAGACCCAAGAGTCCTTACCGTCCCCCTGTAAAACGATTGCGTTCGTCGCGGCGTTGTTAAAAACGCCATCGATTACGTTATTATTTTTGACCGCACGCATACAGCGATTCCACGGTTGCAGTTATTATTAATATTTCCAAAAGAAAATATAACCTTTCAATAAGCTCATAAATTGTCAATTCAATTACTAGCTGCTCATGCTCCAATGTTTACATTGCCTTCAAACCAACGGTGAAACTTCCGAATCGCGGCTTTATAAGTTTTGTGACACCTACCGCCTAGTGGAATGTATCCATACAGGAAAAACGGTCATCTTATCGAAGATGGTCATAGAACGAAGCGAACAAAGTCTATTATCTATGAACAAAGTTGTCTACTATGGTTGTCTATCAGTTGTCTATGGAACGAAGTCAATGAAGTGAAATAGGAGAGGCGTTTTGCGTTTAGCATTAATGTAGATTAATTAATATAACAGTTTTTATTGTAAACTATGTAAGTGAGATTTTAATTGTAAATACACAAAGGTGATTCTGGAAATATATGAAAAGTGTTTTCCAATCTTAAATTCTAAATGACTTTAGGCAAGGAAGTCATGGGGTATGCATTTCCTATTTTATTTTATTAAACCTGTTGTACCTACATTAAACTTACAATTAGAGGTGATAGCTTAATAAATCTTAAGTTAATAAATTTTAAGTATTTTTTTATTACCATTTGAATTATAAATAAAAATAGATTTTTACTTGTAGAGAACAACCAATATTCACATGTAAGGCTCATGTATTTCATATCGACCCTAAAACAAAAAGGTCGTGGATGCCTGCTTCTACAGCTGCTGTGAATGTTTCATTTTTTTACGATTCGTCAAGAAGCTTATATCGTATTATTAGTGTAGAAGGTTCCAAAGCAGTAATAAATAGCACAGTAACACCAACTATGACATTTACCAAAACTTCACAAAAATTTGGACAGTGGTCAGATGTTAGAGCTAATACAGTTTATGGACTCGGCTTTTCTTCAGAGTCTGAACTTCAAAAGGTATTATAGTTGGTCAATTATTAATTTTTATCACTAATAGTTTAAAATTTTTGCAAACATGTGGGCATTTAATTGAAGTAGGAAACAACCTATATTATGAAATTAGTGTCATATCTAAAGATGGGTCTATATCCTTTTTTTGATTTTGCAAAAAAACCATCATTTAGTGTTGGTGTAAATAGTAAATATAGTTGTTGTTTCTGTGTAGATACTACATTTTTATGCAGCAATGATATTACTTATGAATTGTAGTGCAAACACATATTCATTGTCTTTACTATGCCATACATTACTGTAGTAATTACTTTTTATTTATTCATTTTGTACTGTAGTTTATAGATAAGTTTAATGAAGTAAAAGAAGCAACGAGAACAGCAATAAGTAAGGTTACTGCCAATGGAGTTGTTACACCTGTAACAAGTGCTAATGCTAGTCCTGTCACTTCAAGAGCTGCTACTGGATGTGATGCGAATCCAGAAAACTTGCTTGATCCACCAGGTGATAATTTTATTAATCGTCATTTAAGCTAATGCAGCTATTTTAAATTTAAACTTAAATAGACTATATTTAATTTGATTCGAGCCGATCTAATACCGACGGGGTTTATAATTTCTATTAAAAAGTGTATTGCAGTTAAGTTAATTGAAAAAGAAATTATGTGGGACAGTGTAAAATCCGGATATTGAAAAATTTTTTTAAACCATGTTTGAATGTGTCATTTATGTTCCTTGTGGTCATATTCTGCAATAAAAAATAGAGGCGTCTACTTAAAGAAAACAAATTAGGATATCATAGGGCCTTATCAGGGTCCCAGGCCTGATTTCTGACCAGAAAGAGAAAACCTAACAATTTTTGTGAAGGTAATTTTTTGTTTTGGGGTGACAAATTAAAATTATAGTTTATTATAATTTGGCAAACCCCTTCTGCTTTGTTTAAAAGAAAATATATTCAGAACAGCAGCAGCTTTTTTTGAGTTACTTTGAAAATTATTTTTATTTTCATTACTTGAATGAAAGCCGAGTTAAATCTATATCTTGATCGCGTCTTTTGCAACACATAATGACTCTTATCTAAACTGTTATGCAAACAAGGAATGTAATTGTTAATGAATATTAATTGTTGTTTGGTAGTGTTTTATCATATAATTTACTTGTATGTATAACAAGTTTAGAGTTAGCTATTGTAATGGTTACTAACAATGCAATTTACACTTAGTATTAATTGTCTTAAAACTGACGAGCATAAAGTATGTAAAATTTTTTGCATATTTAATTAAAATTAATTATTAGTATAGATTTATGTTTATATTATTTTTTTTGTATACTTGCATACTGAATTGGACATTTCTAACCATTCTAATTCTTTTTTTATATAAATATTTACTACTTAAAAATATCTACTAAAACTAATCATATCGAATGTAAAGGTCTTCCAAAAAATACGAATTGCAGTATAGGGAAGAAGTATATTTTGCATGATGGTTACTTTCATTTTCAAAATATTGTAGGTGGAGCAACATCGTTTCAGTCTCCTCCCAATCCTAATAAAATTGACGATGATGTAGTTCATTCAAGAAGTCATTCACTCTCAGCAGTTCAAAGTAATGAAAGTCCTAGTCATCAAATTAAACTGGAAAAAGGTGGATATGGACAATCAACTAATGCTTCTCAACTTGATACTGCTCAACTTAAATATGAAAATGATCGATTAAAATTAGCCCTTGCTCAGAGGTAAGTACAATAATATAATGAATTAAGCCCTGTTAATACTACAGGTCCAATCACGGTGCGTTCAGTTAAGTAAAATATCCTAGCATACATTTTGTATGGCATTCATATTATCAGGTATGGTCAGATAATGGTCTCGTGTTTTTCTTCAACGATATTTTGATCTGACTATGACTAGACCTTGGCCGGCACGTCTAATGGGAATCGGTTTTTAGTTTAGTAATTTTTTTAATGCATAATTTGAAATTTTATTATATTAAATAGTAAATTTACAATAAGTCGGCACTTTATGTGGATGGGATTGTATTAGGTTTAATTATCAAACATTGTTCTCCGGAAAACAGCATGACCACGTTTGATTTCACATTAGTTGATACACCGGTCACGTGACAAATCCGCGGTGGCAAAAAATACCATGCGAGAGATACGTGCTATCTATTTAAAACACCGACATCTTTGTAAATTTGCGAAGTTACTAGAAGAGCTAAGAGAAAAGCAGTCGAAATACTTAAGCGCTCTAACATGTTTAACAAAATGGAGGTGGTCCTAATAGGTCCTAACCTGTTCCACTTATAAATGTGGTTACCACGAAAAGTGTCAGTTCAATCTTACTATTAGTACAATCCAGCGAAGGACATTACAACCTCCCTGCATTTCCTGAGAATGTCAACTATAGCTGTCGGTTAAACGTCGGAAAAATGTTCAAGTTAAACCTCTTTAATAGTTTAAATTTATTTATTT